TGATAAACAGCGAGAAGAATAAAGCAGTGTATGTTTCTTATTGTCCCTATAGTCTACTATCTTTTCATCCTTCTGGTATTTCTGGTATGGTGGTGGTTTATATAGAAAAACAGGACTCCTCTAGCCATACAAAGATGAAGTCACACCATGGCCTTCCAGATACCCAATCAGTTCCTCCCAGAACTTAATCCACTTCTCCGGAATTCTCTATTGCCGAGCTCCAAGTTAACCAAGGTTCGTTCCCCCACCTACATATTCTAAGAGCCGTGGCAAGACGGAGGGCTTCCGAGGAATGTTGACAAAAAAAAGCTTCCTGCAATACATAGCGTCTAGCAACATGAATCATAAACGAAATACAGCCCTGGGATCTGTTAACCGGGGGACTTGCAATTATGGTTGTGAGTACCCGTGGTTTTCAACACGGAGTTGGCTCCCAATAAGCTCCGTCATGCTTTCCTTTTTATTACTCTCAGCCGAGGGCTGAAAGACAGTCCTTCTGCGAGGTTTGTCCCCTTAATCTAAATATGGGAGTCCTGGGAATCTTAGCCGGAGGTCTAATTATTTCAGTTTCTACAGCACCAGTGACTCTCTGGTCTTAGTTACCAAATAGGACTCTACCAGTGATTCTTCATCCCACATCCTCAGCTTCTATTACTCGGGGTGCTGGTTCCGCAGAGTTTGATAGAGATAATGTAAATAATGTATATTCCTATCGTTTCCATACTATGGTATCTAGGAAAAATATATATACAATACTTGTTGTACTAGTGCTGTACGGGTGCAGTATCATTTCATTTTTTTTCGCATCATACTGGCTTTTGCCGACGACCGGTATAAATAAAGAGAAATGGTAAGGGAACTAGCTATTATCTCAATAAGCGAGAGGAATTTGGGGAGAAAATTGCACCCTAGAGCCGCAGCCCGCGGTTTCTATCGTTATTTTTTCCTTTTAGAGGGAAAGAGATTCTTGAAGTGACTTACTCTCACTCGCCTGTCCAACCGCCCTTTATTTGACTTCCCCAGGGCAATTTTTAGATTATGCGGTATGATATGGCTCTAGAAGTTATAGCGGGAAAAAGTGTTCGTAAGGGGCCAGTCCGACTAGGCTCGGGCCTAACCCGACCAGCCTAGGCTTGTTCGAGCTAGCATGGCCGGACTGCGGTATGCAGGCTTCCGAGTGATCGAAGGTGACTGCCCCAATTCCTGTAGGTCTTAGGGAATGTTCCAATATCATGGATTAGACAGAACTAGTGTATACGTTAACAGTCTCTGCACGTACATTACTAGAAATAGTCATATGTCGTGATATCTCAACAACAAATTCGGAGAGGTTTGAATTTTATATTATTTTCTAGAGTCCGCGTTTTCACTAACATGTTATCCCGGTCTATACAGAACAGGTTTCAAACTAGTTAGTCCGTTTTGGACTCCGGGGTGCAAATCGGAGTGTGGAACCGGAGTCTAAGCTTATATTCTCGCTTAAAATAGTTGTGTTAAACTGGGTCATTAAGGTAATGAGAAAAGTAATTCCGGTAGCACAACCGTCAGGATGAAGGTTTCTGGGAGAATTCGGGGTTTATCATGATGCTGAAGTGGTAGAAGAAACAACTTGTAACCAAATAATAATTGCTAACATGCAAGCGATAATCTACCGTACAATTTAGGAATAGACCGAGTGATACTGTATGAAATTACCCCTACTGCTTTCCCAGGTCTTGTCCGGTAGGAGGCAGTTTCAGATATTCCATCACAATGGAGGGCACACGCTGGTATCTATAGATATCTGGTGGTGTCTTCAGATATCTGCGGGGATCTCCAGATCTTTGTAGGTATATTTAGGGATCTGCTACGTATTAACAAAATAGTTACTAACTGCATGGCGCTTACCGAAAGCCTACCGGCACCACCAGACATCCACAATTCCTGCAGGCTTTGTGAATGCCGGGCCTACCCCGAGGGTGTATCTATAGGCTATGTGCAGGCCAGCCTGGCTACTTGCAAACACTAGTTCGGGGAGTGGGAGGAGATAAGCAGGTCAGCGAAATTTGTGACTATGCCTTTCTCGCACTCTACCAAACTTGATTGAGGCATAGAGGTATTCGTCCCTTTGCACGGATTCGTGACCGCTTTGCCCGGTATCCTATTGCAGTTGTGAGGCTTGTTCCCAATGATGGTCATGTTGGCCTTGGTGTTGGTGAAGTGCCCTTTCCACTGCTTCCGTCATTTCTCCCACTATGCCACTGCGCTATTTTCTAAGCACCATACTGCCATTCGAAAGTCTACCCATGACAATTTCCCCGCTCCCAGACTCTATTCCTGTACGTGTGCTCGATTCCAGATTGGCGGGTAGAAGTTAAATTATTATTTCCTGCTACCAACAACGATGGGGAGAGTTTCCACACAATGATACTGGGGAAGGAAATCCTACATTATAGGAGAAGTCAGTCTTTGAAGAAATAGCAAGCATCTGTCAAATTTCTTTCTGGTATTACGAGTGGCAAGAAGATTCGCATAAGAGCTTTTCCGAGTTTCCCCTATTGGTGCATCCCCTAGAATACCGTATTAGGTAGGGGTCAACTACCATAAATAAGCACTATCAGGACGGATTTACCCCGCTTTTGGGTGTGGCATATTTGGATGAGAGGATAGCGGTTGGGGCGCAAGCACATCTTTAACAGCTTTCGCCGTGCCCAAGGATACCCCCAAAGCACTCCCACAGCGCTTTTCCTCTGCCCCCAGCATTCTTATATGGTGTTCCAGATCTCCGAAAATTAATCGAAATAAAAAACAATTGACAAATAGGTATTACCTCTATCACCGGGGCGCGAGTAGTAGAAGCTAACAATCCCGGCCTATAATCCAACCACCCGGGACTGATCTGCCCATCTGTCACCCTCTGTTTGCCTAGTAATACACACAAATTAGCGGTTTGGTATAGCCCCGTATTCACGCTCCCCTGCTCAGGGATACCGACCTTAGTGTTCTCAACAAATACTCATCGAATAAAGATTAGAGTCCATGGAATTGAGCTAGGGCTAGCTCTAAATACGATAATCCTATGGAGTTTGTGTCCAAAAAAAACCACCCTTTCACCTGATGTCCGATCCTCTACCGGTGCTCTACTGCCCCCTATCTACGCATCCCATCTCCACCAAGAGGGGACACACCTGCTACCGCACCACCTACACACTGTTCTTCGTAAAGACTGGGAGCTGTTAAGGCTGGATCATGTCGGACATAGACCATGAGATCAGCCCTGTTGACAACCCAATAGAATTCGAACGGGGGGGCAAGTGGGAAGGTTAGATTTTGGATTGTCTCGCCACATGGAGAGCAATGGCGTTGGGGTGATAAGCGATGGTGCTCTAATGTACTCGATCACTCGTTCAGTATCCAATCAGAAGATTCAATATTACTTGTAACTGCTTTTCCCCTTCCTTACCTCGGGTATGGTTCGGATTTCTACAGGCACATACCTTACCTGCACGAGTATCTTTTCGTTTGTACGGACCGGCTCCTCCGCTGTGCATGTACCCGAGTGCCTGTACGGTACGAGTACAACACGGCCTCGTCCGTAAAGTTCCCATACCCGAACTACTTCGTTGACCCCTGTCTCATTATTCAGAAAGTCGGATCGCCGTAGAAGTTCACAATATCCCCAGATGCATGTCTCAAACGGTTATTCGAAAGGCTCTCGCTGAAAGATGAGAATTTTACGATCACGGCTGTGCACGTAAGGTGGTACAGGTACCGTACCGAGAGAGCATGAATGTCCTCCACGATTCGAGCGCCCGAACGTGAATTACTGTGTTTGAAATGCGGCCCAGTGGGGGCAATAATTCGTCACCAGGGTCTGGAGATACTGATAAAACATTTGCCGCCCCCACACACAACCACATGGTTATCGGACATCTAAAGCCCACAACTTGGTCCGCCGGTTAACTTTGAGTACCAAAGCCCCGGCTCTGATACAACACTCACCAAATAGAAAAACAAAGTCCCACAGGAACGGGGGGGAGCAAATATTGGGCAGTTCCAGTGGTTCTCTTGCTCTATCATTATTTTTAGGATGTATTATGGTTCATCCTGGTGCCTAATTTCGGTTTTCTAGGGGCCCAATCCAGACCTCTGGCACCACCTTTCCTTAAGAAACGCCCTATCTCGGCCAAAGACAGGGTATTCGGGGTGGTGATTGTATCCCAGGTTTTTGCCTTCACCAACAAGTACTAGTTCCTATCCCCAGGAAACAGTACTAGTAAGTGATATTAAAGGTAAAAAAGTCCAGCGGATTAGTGGAGACATGGCCTGCGAGGGTGCGAATAGTGTTCGAATAATCCCGTAGACTTACAGTTCGAACCCTACCTATAAACGAGTGACTATTTGTAGATGTGGCGTTCTGTGGGTAGTTCATATCATAGCATAGGCTTGGTTTCGTCAGGTCTGGAGTTGGATACTATCCCTTGGGCGGTCTGAAACCGTAAAATTCGTTGCCAGGCACGCTAATGCTAGATTGGGTAGTGGTTTGCTGTTGTAAGTCGGATGTCGATCTTTCTCGGTCTCTTTCTGCCCCCGAATGACTCAACAACCCGGCTAGCTTAAATACAGTCACCCAACCGGAAGGCCCAACTCCCTCCAAAACAGACTTAGGGTCCCTGGCAATGAATTTACTGTCTCAAACTGCCCAAGGATATTTTGTAGCTCTGCAGATACTTGCACCTACAAATAGCTGGGTCACGATACGTTGAGGTTAAGATTTTGTGATGGGGGGAGGGGGGGTGGGAACGGATAAGGTACCATAACAAGGAACCAAAAGGCCCCAATTAAGTAACGGAGCTGTTCTATTCCATGTCAAGCACTACTCTGGCGGAGTAGAGGGCGGGTATATTAGAGCTTGTGCGTGCCATTTTTTCCCTTGGTGTACTTCTCAACTTTGCGGTTCTCTGCTACCACTACATCCGCTACTTCCAATACCATAAACTCTGTCTTGAACAGAAAAAAAGATGTTATCGAAGCTAAAACCCCTCGCGACAAAGCTGGCATTCCTAGCCGGCGGGGTAGCTGCCTCCATGATACGGGGTAGAGTCGGTGGAGATATTTCTCCGGTATATCCGTCATTATCGGGGATTGAACCGCCTCCGCTACTGGATAGGTATGCTGAACTAAAGAGACTATTTACAGCTGGGCGGGAAAGGACCCTGACAGAGTCCCGGGAGAGGCGATTGCTCGATCTTGGGAAGGAGACGGCTGTGGTGAGGACGTCTGAGGGTGATGTTTGCCTCTCTTTATCCCACCGATTCTGCGTTTTCCTTCAGCAGAGCGGGAAGTGGGGGAGGGGTTTTGTTAATGAGTTGATATATTATTCCACAAGTCGAGTTCGAAGACCTCTGCAGTCTCTCCAAGGAGGAAACGGTAGAGATTAAGAAACGAGGTGCTGTGGTTCTTAAGAATGTCAGCCCAGATAAGGAAGCTCTAGTAATGAGGGAGTCCCTGAAGGCACACCGGGCCCAATACTTGGGCTCAAGGTTTCCCTCGTCCATAAGTACATCACTATTGAAAGCTGACAAGCTCAGCCTTCCCCGCCGACTCGCAGGCAGTCTACGAATTATACTCGTCCCCAGATCAGCGTGCTGCAGAGCCCATCCATCTCCCGTGGCGGACACCTCCGTGGCCCTACCCTACGCCGACCGCTTCCGCATCCGCCAGTCGGGCGATGCAGGATTTGCTCTTAGGGCACACTTTGACGGTGGCAGTGAGGAGTATGATTCGTATAACGCAGATCATAGGGTTTGTGCAAAGATGGGTTTGTGCGATGGGGCTGGCAACAGCGGAGTCTGAAGGAGCTGGGAGGACTTGGTGTGCCCCCCCCCCGGGTGCCCTTCTCCTTAACTCGTCTACTAACAAGTTCCAGCTATCCCTATCAATAACGTCCCCCGGCGAACGGACCCTCCTGGTAAACCCACTACTAAAGCACGCAACAGCATACACAATCTTGCGCCCCTTTTTCACTTTTTCCGATCCCCCAACTCTCACCAGAGTTCCTCACTTCCCAAACTCGGTCCAGGGTGCGTGTCAGGAATGCAACACAACACGCCCGCACCACCGGTTCGACGACTCAATGACACATGTCCCTCGCATCTCGCCGGGTGACTACGTCTTCTGGCACTGCGACACTATTCATGCCGTGGATCGGGTACACCGTGGGGCAGTGATATGGTGCTGGCCGTCTATAACGTTCCCCAAGTCTATTGCAACGGGGACGCAGGCTTGGAATGCAACGGCAGGTTAAATGGGTGCTGTTGTGTCATCGTAGGGTTATTACCCAGCTTTCACAGTATGATAGCACTAAATTAACCTGCGTCCCCATTGCAATAGACCTGGAGAACGTTATAGACGGCCAGCACCATAGCTCTGTCATGTATATTCCTGCTGTGACAGGGGGTGTGGAGAATCAGTCTTATGTTGAGCGGCAAAGTGGGCGGAGGGGAGGGTGGTGTCACAGGAGGATTTTCCAGTGGGGGCTGGCGTGGGGGTTTGAGATGGTGATCTGTGTCTTTTTTCTTCTTTATTCCTCACTCGCCCACAGGGCAGTGGGCAGATGGATAGAGGCTCTGTTGCCACAATACCACCACCGCGTCACCAGGAATTATGCCCTCCTATCCGTTTCTTTCCTTTTTCTCTCATGTTTGTCAGTCGCAGCGCTCGCTGTTAGTGTTTTTCCTCTCGGGAGTATATTCCCACCGACTCTATACTTAAGTTACCCACTTACCTGTTCACCAATTCATGATGCATCCTGGAGCGGAGGTGCCAATATCCTCGGATATAAACACAAAATACGAGTGTTATGCCCGGATCAAAACACCTATCTCTCTACGTTCTAAGATAGGCTCTCACAGCATACAACAGTTCATGATTTCTCTAACAGTCAGGGATTTTATGAGGGTCTCATATAGATCCACTTATCCACTTAACCACCATCCCTATTCTTCTGCTCTACAAACCCTCTGCTATCCTTCCGAGTCTTTTTCTTGTTCTCTACCCCCGTGCTGTCTAATTCTTCTAGTACGCTGCTCAGTCCCACCCCCAACACAGCTACATAAAACGTGTATCCTTATGTTCTAGCGCTTCTGTAATTAGAGAATCTTAAAACTCTACCGTTTGTCATTCCCCTGAAGAGGTCCGTTTCCCCATTATTCGCCAGAATTCAGAATGTTAGCAGATCTGCCCATAAAATTGCAGGCAATCTTCTGGAGTTGTGGATGACTGGCTTTGTAGGTTCTGGTATTTTTGGTGGGTGGAGTGGGGAGATCGATTTTCCGATGATCCAGGCCCTGGAATGAAAGGCTACATGGATATGGCCAAAGGGCAAACATGAGCCATTCGAATCCACTGCGTTACCCCCACACGCATAATTCCCACTGATTTATGTATTCAGTTATGATAGCCCAGAATCTAGGGTTCGATATTTCACTTCTCACACCATTGATTCACCTGGGGACTTTAGCTATGGAATCCTTTCTGTAGAAGAGCTGACAAATACTTGAGGGGTTACAACTTGTATGGTGAGTTTCAAAAGATCTCCAATAGAGTCTAACTTACACAGGCTCTCTAGACGCAAGCACTTCCCTAAATCCAGACGTTGTCACAATAGGTAAACGATTCCCAGGGCGAATAATATATGCAATTGCATAACTTCCAATTATGTTTTAAACCTAGGGAGGGCAGGCGCCATTTTAGATGCGAGATGCACGGCCAGAGATCAAATACGACACCTGACTGCATGAGTAGGACCCAAAAACCACGTTCCCCGTCTCTGTCCAACATTTAACAACCGCCCGAGGTCAAGAGCGCGAAGCCCTACTTTGAAGAAGCCTAGGCACGACAATTTCTTGTCGAGCATTCAAAGCTTCAGCACGGGGGTTGACGAAATTGCAAGCGATCATCCAGAGTTACTTTCATCGGTGTTGACCATGATTAGTATTTTCAGCAAGAGGGGAGGCGATTTATAGTTGTTGAAAATCGAAGGCCAGGTAAGCAGTCAGCTATTTATTCTAGTACGGGTCGGGTTGTGTTTTTGGCGGATCCCATTGGCTTCCCATATCATTAAGTTAGTATCGGATTCCCATGATCGTCGCGCGCCCCCCACAAACCATCCTAATGCCTTCCTCAAAGTCCAGCGTCCAGGTGCTGGTTTGTTGCCCAGGGGGGATTTTTGTGAAGCCGTTAGACAGGATATAAGCGATCATCAGAGGGTAGGGAAGAGGTTTCTTTTTTTTTCTCCCCAATGTCGAGACTTCCCGGAGGGGGTCGAAAGCCCTCCTGGCTCTGGGTCTGAGGACTGTACCGTACGGACATCTGTGTGAACACACAACCTCTCAATAGATGGCTACCAAAACAAAAAATACGTAATTAAAATTGATGCTTTGTATACCAGCCATCTGCCTCAACAGTACCCCAATCCCGTGTTCTAGTAGAGGTACGGTGGGTCCGGATGCGGGAAAGGAACACTGAGATGGTGAATGATCAAGCTTTGCCGTACACGGCAAACGTTCGGTTAGGTATCATATGCTAACGGATGATAACGTGGCGCTGTTGCACTTGGGTTGATAACAAAAGATTGTCGGGAGCAATACTGAAACTAACCCGGTAGCTTATTTACTAGGGCATGTTATAATCAAGCCATGGTGCAAGGGGTCCCGGATTCCGTCGCTCCCTCTTCCGCGTCGAAACACACCATACTCGAGTACGGTACCTGAGCCCGGCGTCCGGGGGTTAATTTAAGAGTACTCGAGTAGGCTAAGTGAGAACTATCTCCCGTTGGTCCCAGAGTTACCCGGCCAAGGAGAGAGCGGGTTTCTACCGGTATGGTTCCTGAGTTTTACTTTTCGCCTCACTTTATCCCCCCTTCCAAAAAAGCTTCCAAGACTACAGGTAATTGGGTTACACTCACAAAACTTTTCAGAGACCCGGCGGACCCCCCTGATGCCCACCCCCTTAGTACTAGTACGAGCACAAGTACATCTTGCGAGGCCATGACCCAAGTTTTCTCAAATATGATACTCGTACTAAAGTAAGTGCAGTGCAAATCGCTTAACTTATCATACACAGTTCGCTATAAACGAGGCATCCGATAAATAATTGGTGAAACAAACCCACGGAATACGAAAAGAATGTCCGTAACCACCAGAAGAAAAATGAACAAAAGGAATAAAAAGAATGGTCATAACCATCCGAAGAAATAGCAGCACCGAACCATCCGCTGACCCAATATCCTACTCTAGGAGGCCTCAGACATTAGCCCCCAAACTCATAATGAACGCCCCCCCCCCCCACTTCTCCCCACGAACCTTGTCAATGACCCACCCGGCGCAGGACCACCAACAGACTGTGGATTCTTTTTGAGTTCGTTAGGAAGGATTTGATCCGGTTTAAGACTCTAGGAAGTCAATGACGTGAAAAAGGTTGAAGCGAACGTAACCCTCCACTCCTCTAATGTCGTGACATCTCTCCGCAACGATCTCTTCAGGAAAAGAACGAACCCTATCGTCTTCATGAAGGTCCACCTCTTTATGCCTACCACCCTTTCGAGATTTCTGTAGGCAGTGTGCAAGCAGAACTCCAGTTGGTGGAGAAGATCTACCATGCAGTCTCTGAGAATATCAGGGACCGCATCCGAGGAACTCTGAATCGTCCTTAATTGATGTGCAATGTGTACCCAGACATTTTCCACCCGGACGCTTAGGTCGTTTATATCTCTGCCCACTCCTCGGATCGTTTTGTATCGCGCACAAACATTCTCACCGGCTCTGGACACATTAGGAAATTCCAGACTTTTCTGTGGCTCTAAAACTCACCGAAGGCAAATATCAGCGGTGCCCAGGATCCCAAGAGTCAACCCAATATCCATGATGATAGTAAGTGGGTATTCGGATAATCTGATGGTGGTGCGGGCCGAGAGAAATCACTCTTAGAGGCGCTCCAGGTTTAGGTGCAACTTTTCCTGAAAGGAAGGAATGTAGACGGAAAGGAAGGGAAGCCAAAATGCTCAGATTTATCTTTACTATCACACGGTTTCCCCTAGGCTTATATCTATATTCCGGTATTTCAGTATTGGCCCGGTTTGGTTTCTTCAGTTTGCCTCCAGGGGGGCGTGAAATCGAACATAATCGGTTAGGCGCGATCATCGTTGTCCACTGGTCACTGGACAAGTGATAGAGTTTGGACCACTAGCAACAGGACATCGCCCCCAGCCAGGAAGTTTGTTCGGATACGGTATGAAAGGTGCGGGACGAAAACTGGCCCCCACTTGGCAGGGAGGGCGCCGAATTACGCAACCATCCCCCAACAAGCCCAACCCCCAATCCGTCTAGAAACGCCAAACCGCAAAAAAATTTCCCCGCTACCAACCTACGCTAGAAGCGGATTTCGATGAGCTGCCATCTGCGGGGCCTGGGGGCGGTCCAAATGTCTTGTTTTTCCCACACGAGATTAACACTTCTGAGTCTTCTAACCGTATCAAGTAATATCCTGTTGACACTACACCAAATGAGGTGATAGGGTCACCGATACTTGCTCCATATGGCTAATGGGAACCTCAAGGAGGAAAGTAGTTTTACTGCTTAATAAGCGACCGGAAATCAGTAAGAATGTCAATTTGCCGTGTCGCGCGCTATCAGATACCGGTAGTCGGGAGAATTGAGCGTAATATATTCAAGGCTTGCAATTCGGGAAAGGCCAGAAGGGTAGGAATTGTCTCCGTAAGCTCGTCGAGATATCGCGCCTGTGTTTTTTGTCGAATCCTGGAATGATTTTGGGTACATGGATGGCACATGAAAGGG